AACAGCCCTGAGCCAGCCATGAGGGACAGGCCCTGCTGTCCCAGGCTGGGCTCAGGGCTTGCCCTTTCTGCTTCCCCCGACCAGCCCAGGCCTTGCTCAGCATTGCAGTTCCCTGCTCAGAGCCTTTGGCTCCCTGCAATCCTGGCCTCAAGATTCTGCTCTGAGCAGTCCCTGGGGAGCCTTTGGCACTCCCTGCCCTCAGTGGGGCCCAGTGATGCTCCAAGGGACTTGGAGTTTTGCTTTTGACTTCTTAAGAAGCTTCTTCAGCCTCTTCTCAGTGCCTGAGGGTCCTGGACTCAGCCCCAAATCCACCATGGATTTGATTAAAATAAAGAAAGCACTTCAGGGCTCTTTCTCTGGCTTCAATGGTTTTCAGGTCTTCAGGGCTTGTACAGCTCACTGGAGTCAGTTTGGAATTCTTTTCAAGAGAAAGATTTCAAAGTGCATCTCATGACTTTTCTTCTTTAATCAAGTGAGTATTTTTCTATTTTCCAGTTCAGAGAAGAGCTGATATAATATTCCCCAGGTGATCTTGATGCTGAATGTCTCTTCATGAGGTCTGGGCACAGAGAAGAATGAGCCCCTTGAGGCTGACCCTGTTTGGACAAGCTGCTCCTCGCCCCCAGCCTCACCATGCCTGATATGGCCCACCAGGCACTGACATCCCTGTGCCCTGCAGCAGAACCTTGTCCCCTGAGCTCTGCAGCTCCATGTCCCAGCCCATTGCACCATGTTTCACCTGCTCTCCTCAGAACTCTGCCTGCACACAGGCCCAGGAGAGATTTTCCTGTTGGGAAGGATGGAATGGAAAAGCCTGAGCAGGTTTCCTGAACAACAAACCCCACTCAGGAAACACCTGCTCAGTCCAGGCTGCCTGGAATGGTGTCATCTTTCTCCAAGGGACAGTGTGAGCAGAAATGATCTCTGGAAGCAGAATTCTCTGAGTCTTGCAGCTGAATTCTCTGTCCCTGTCCTTTACCTGGATCTCTGTTGCAGATGGAAGCTGCTGGTGCCATCCTCACCTTTAACCTCTCTCTTGAATGCAAACAGATGTTCCCAGCTTTGTTGAGCAGGATTTGTTCAATGTTTCTACAAAACATTTGTGTTCCCCATGGAACAAAGGGGCCATTTTGGCATTGAGGGTGTGACGTGGATGCAAGGAGTCAATTGTGACACTGGGGTGCCATTGAACCAAGGGGCTATAGTAACACAGCAGGGCCCCATGGATCCAGTGGTCCATTGTGACACTATGGATCCAAGGAGACCATGGAGACATGCCTAGAACCTCATGGAACCAAGGAGTCAGTGGTGACCCAGCGGGGCTGCATGGAGCCAATGGTCCATGGTGACACTGCCCATCCAAGGAGTTCATTGTGACACTTAAGAAACTCATGGAGCGAGGGAGGCCATTGTGACACTGAAGAAATTCATGGCACCAAATATCCATGGTGACACAGCAGGGCATCATGGGAACCAAGAAACCACTGTTGGCAGTAGGGAAACTCATGGAACCAGGGGCCCTTGTGGCACTGCAGAACCAACAGAGCTGCTGGACCTTGTCCCCTGGCCCTGCAGAGCTCCTTGGGAGGCACAGCAGGAGCGGCACCCTGGGAGCCTCAGGAATGCCCCTCTGGCATGCATGGCACACACTCCCAGGGGCTGGAATTGCAGTTCTCAGCCAGGAAAAGATGTTCCTGCCCTGGAAAGCAAAGCTTTTAAGAAGGAACCAAAAGCCAAGTGGAGCAAGCTCTTAGAGTGACATTTCACTGCCAGCCTTCATAACTTCACCCATGGTTGTTGTAGCTCCTGGATGGGGAATGAAATCAGGACAGGGTTTTTGGTGGGAGCTGCCCTGGGCCAAGGCAGACCCTGAGAGAGAAACAGGACAGGCAGAGAAAGGCAGGAGAGAAAGGAGGACAGAAACACAATCAGCTGAGAAGGTGACACTCTGAAAAACAGAACTGGAACTGATGGAAAAGGAATGGGACAGAAACTAATAGTTCTAAAAAATTTATTTACTGTCAAAATACATACCACACACCCAGCCTCCCACAATCCTGATCCCACACCCTCAAATTTGGATCCCACTTCTCCCAGTCTGTATCCAATCCTATCTCACCCTGGAGGCTGTGGTATTGAGTAATTTTAGCATGGGACTGAGTTTTTTTGAGGTGGGAAAAAGGCAATTTTTAATGGGATTGAGCCCCTTGAGGGTAAGATTGAGGTTTTCAGTGGAACTGAGTCATTTTGAGGTGACAGATCAATCCATCTTGACTTTTGGAGTGCAAAGATAGGGAGAACACTTCCTGAAATCCCCCAAGAACCCACAAATCTTCCAGAATATGCCCCAAAACCATAAATTCCTGCTCAAGTAACTGTTAACTGATGGAACTTTCGATGTCTTTGATAAATTTCTTTCTTTTTAGTCCTATTTCAGATGTTTTTAAGTGATAAAGAAAAATCAAGAGGAAATTGGGGCCCAAACCAAAAGGATAACCAGCCAGGTGTCCTCCCAGCACAGATCACTGAATGTGACTTACCAGGGCTCTGCCCAACATGGATCCTCCCATGGGGGATAAAGCTGGAGCGATGCACGAAGCTCTTCCAGCACTTGGGGCATTTGCAGGGCTTCCCTTACCAGTGCCTCTGTTGGTGTTTGGTCAAGTGAGAGCTCTGGGTGAAGCTCTTCCCACACTGGGGACACTCGTAGGGCCTCTCCCCAGTGTGGATGCGCCAGTGGGTGATGAGGGTGGAGTTGTGCTTGAAGGCCCTCCCACAGTCAGGGCAGCGGAAGGGCCTCTCATCTATGTGAATCCGCTGGTGGCGGAGGAAACTGGAGCTGGTGTGAAATGTCTTCTGGCACTGGGGACACCTGCAGGGCCTCTTCCCAGTGTGGATGCACTGGTGGATGATCAACTGGCACCTCTGACTGAAGTTCATCTCACATTCCCCATATCTGTATGGCGTTTCCCCAGTGTGGATCATCTGGTGGTGGATCAAGTGGAACTTCTGCCTGAAACTCTTCTCACTTTCCCCAAACTCACATGGCCCATTTCCCAGTGTGGATGCATTGGTGCCTAACAAGGGCAGAGCTGCAGCTGAAGCCCTTCCCACATTCCCCACACTCATAGGGCCATTCCCTGGTGTGGATCATCTGGTGGCTGATCAGGGTGTTGGTCTGCTGAATCTCTTCCTGCACTCCAGACACTTTTAGGGCTTCTCCGTATCATGAAGCTGCTCATGGATCACCAGCTCTGAGATCTGGCTGAAGCTCTGTCCACCTTCCTAGTTCAGGGAGGGTCTTTCCTCCTCAGAGCACCCTGGGCTGGTTTTGCAGGATCTCCCAGGCTTTTCCTCCCTGTTGGATTCCAGTGCCCTGGAGCTGCTCAAAGCGGCCTCTTCCATGAGGTTCTGCCATGGGGATTTGTCCTCCCTGGTCTCCATCCTCAGCTCCTTGTCTGGGGGAGGAAGGACAAGGAGAGGATGGGATTTGCCTCCGTGCCACAGGGAAGGGGAAGGAGATCCCCCCAGTCCATCCCCTGCAGGACAGTCTTGGCACCGAGGTTGTCCTGCAGCTGGGGGCCGTGCTGGGATGGGAGATGGAGCAGGAGAGAAGGGGAAAGGGGCACTGACTTCCTCCTCACCTGCCTGAGTTTTCCAGGGCATTGTCTCAGTTTGAAAGACAGATGTCCGCTAAGGAAGGCAGGAGACTCCCTTGAAATAGAAAATGTAAACCCCCTCCCTCTGAATTATTATAATTTTGAAATTAAGGTGCTTTTAGACAAAGACATGGCAATTGGAATAACAGTTCTTAACTAGGAAAATTAAAAATGCAAATGCAATAATACAAAAAAAAAAAACACTGACAGGGCCAGAATATGAACTGACACTCTGTTGGTCAGGGTGTTGGCAGCAGTCCCATTGAATGGTGGCTGCAGTGCTCCTGCAGTGACTGATGTGGTTCTGTTGGAGCATCGATCCTGTAGAAGGGTGTAGTTTTCCTCTGAAGGTCCAGTGGCGGTGTAGATGGGCCTGGTCTTCCTGGTCTTGGAATCCAGTGGATAAGAAAGCTGCTCCTCTGGGAATCCAGTAAGAAAAGGCTCCCTGAGGTGTTCGAAATCTCAGATTATGTCCAGTTAGGAATGCTTGGCTCCTCCCAGTGGGAGGAACTTCTAACAGTGGGATAAAGTAATTTTATCAGTCATGCAGTGACACTCAGTGGCCCACTCACAGAAGATATCTCCCCAGATGGAAGATTGGTTGTGGAAGAGGTGAAGAAAACCGCCCAATTAACAGAGGATAATTGCTCCACAAATAGGAATAGAACACACACACTCATTTCCAGTCTAAGACAGTGGCTCAAGGGTTGGTGTCATAGACAGAATTTTGAATTCATTGATCATGGGGAAACTTTTACAGCTCCTGGCCTGCTGGAACCTGATGGGCTCCATCTCTCCGTTAAGGACAGAAGGTTTTTAGCTAGTGAACTGGCAGAACTTTTTGGGAGAGTTTTAAACTACGTTTGAAGGGGGAAGGGGATGCAGCTGGGCTGTGTGGAAGCAGACCCAAGGGTGGTAAGCCTCAGTTAGGGGTGAAATCATCCGCCCAGCTGAGGTGCACGTATACCAGTGCATGCAGCATGGGTAACAAACAAGAAGAGCTGGGAAGCCATGGTCCAACAGCAGAGCTGTGATGTAATCGCCATCAGGGAAACGTGGTGGGATGACTCACAGGTCTGGAGTGCTGCACTGGATGGCTACAAGCTCTTCAGGAGAGACAGGAAAGGGAGAAGAGGTGGAAGGGTGGCCCTTTATATTAGGGAGGCTTTGGACACCATAGGTATTGAAACTAATGATAATGAAGTTGAATTCCTATGGGTGAGAATTAAGGGGAAGGCCAACAAGGCTGACACCCTACTGGGAATCTGTTATTGTCCACCCAACCAGGAAGAAGTGGTGGACAACTCATTCTATAAGCAGCTACAGAATGTTTCAGGTTCATCAGCTCTTGTTCTTGTAGGTGATTTCAACCTGCTGGACATTTGCTGGGAGCTCAATACAACTGAAAAAAGGCAGTCCAGGAAATTTTTAGAGTTTGTGGAGGATAACTTTTTGCCATAGCTGCTGAGTGAGCCCAGCAGGGGAGGGACAGTGTTAGATCTGTTGTTTGTAAAAAGAGATGGTCTGGTGGGAGATGTGGTGGTTGGAGGCTGCCTGGGGAACAGTGATAATGAAATTAGAGAATTCTCAATATTTGGTGAAGTCAAGAGGAACATTAAGAAGATTTTTACATTGGACTTCTATAGGGCAGACTTTGGCCTGTTTAGGAGACTTATTCAGAGAGTTCCTTGGGAAGCAGTCCTTAAAAACAAAGGAGTTCAGGAAAAGTGGACATACTACAAAACAGAGATCTTGAGAGCACAGGAACCGACTGTCCCTGTGTGCCAAAAGGTGAATCAACAAGGCAAACATCCAGTCTGGATGAGCAAGGAGGTTTTGGAGGAACTCGGGAATAGAAAAAGGATGTATCATCTTTGGAAGGAGGGTCAGATCTCTCAGGAAGTATTTAAGAGGGCTGCTAGAGTATGTAGGAAAAAATAAGGGTGGCTAAAGCTCAATTTGAACTTAGAATGGTGACTTTTATAAGGTGTTATGAACAAAAATTCTGCTAATTTTTTTGTGAGAAAAAGGTTACCACTGTTGCTGCTGGGGTGCTGCTTGTGTGTTATGGTAATTACGGGTCGTTGTCGTTAACAGTTGTTTTTGTATCAGTAAAACCCTAGCTGGGGCCGAGTTAATGGCCCTTCTCTGAGACAGTGAAGGGTGGGGACCTCCCCAAACAGTGAGGAGAAGAGACTTGGGGAGGGATATGCAAAATAACTCCAGGATCAGCATGCCATGAGAAGCTACTGCTTCTAGCTTGCTAAAAAAGACCCCAAAACAACGAGCCAACTAAGAGTTGGGAGATTGGAGTGATGTCTGGACGTCAGGAACGGAGTGCTGAGCCTGCAGAGATGCGGAACACCTTCGTAGTCCCTCTCACCCTGAGCACGGGAGTCGTCCTGACGAACGAGGGCGGGCCAAGAGAGGCTGAAGGAGTAACATCCGAAGGAGTCACCACACCCTAAAGGCTCCCATGAGGACCGGACCCCCAGCTCTGCCCCTAGTGGAAAAAGCTGCGCATGTCCTCCTCCTCCTCGTTGCCCTGGGAGACACGACAGGAGACTGCAGCCCTGCTGAGCTGTCCAGTCCTGAGCTGATCACTTTTAATGAAGCCATTAAAAGAAGAAAAAGTCTCCTGCCCTGTTTATTTCAGCTGGGGCACTCGTCCGGAATAGCCACGCCGGAAGAAGGACACCAGGACTGGCCATCTTGGACCTCCAGGACAGCTGGCTACCAGGACCAGAGGGATCGGCTCAGGACTAGCCACGCAGAGGAGCACCGGAGCACTGGACTGGTGAGAAATCCGGTGGCAGGAGTGGGAGACGTGCGCATGTGTGTGTGACTGAGACAAGGGCTGGCAGCCGGACCCTCAAACTGAGAGCGGCCCCTCAGTACCGTGTTTCCCAACTTACGCGAGAAAGCCGGCCGGGAACAGGGGGAAGTGCGTGGAATTAGTGTGAGTGAGTCGTCTCCTAAGGGGGAAAGAGGGCCCCCCCCCTCTGAGCGTGCGGAGGGAATAGTTGTATGAGTGGCACACACCCAAAGTAAGTCCTGACAGAGGGAAGTCAGGCAGATTGTAAGTCCCGAGAAGGATTTGGGTAAGATTGTAAGTCCCAAGAAGGATTCAGGTAAGCTCACAAGCCCTGCAGGCAAAGTAAGTCCTGACAAAGGAGTCAGGCACAAATCCCAGCGATGGAGGCTGCGGTTTGTTTTCAAGTCCTGATATGGTGAAGCCTAAAAATTGGCAGGTTAGGCAAACTAAAAATCAGGCAGTTCTTTTTCCTGACAGAGGGAGTCAGGCACGACCCAGATTCTTAGGCCGAGGTTTCGTGTGTTCAGGTCCTGATAGATGTAAGACCTGACGTTAGGAAAGTTGGGCAATCAAGAGATCGGGCAGTTGTTTCAGTATAAAGTCCTGAGCATCAGGCAGAAATTTGAAGTTCGGTGGAGGAGGCTGAAGCTCCTCAAACAAGAGTTTTCTTGAAATTACCTGTCAGTAGAGGCACCTTTGGGATTTTTTTACTGTTGAGACCTGAAAAACGGGAGGATGTAATAGTAAAAAGACCGGCAAGAGACTGAGGTATATACCTCCCAATAGTCCCTTAGGAGAACTGTTAGTAAAATGGGATTCTATAGAGGCCACAGAGGGATTAGATAAAGTGAAAATGATCAATTATTGTATGGAAGTGTGGCCAGAATTAGAGGTGCAAGGAGGATGGCCTTGGTGTGGGACAAAGGATGAGTGGATGTGCCAACAATTAAATAATTATCTGACAGCTCGAGGAGATACTGATCCTGAGCAATTACTGTATGTATCTTGCTGGTTAAAGAACGCTATTGGGGATGAAGGGGTGCGAATTTGTAAGGTACAGAAGAAGAAAGAGGGGAATGAAGAAGGGGATGATAGGAATAGTAAAAGATGGGACCTCCTGGATTATTTGCCTCCTTCTGCCCCTCCACCTTATAATCCTCTTCTTCAAGCACCTCAAATGGCAGGTCCAGTTCTTCCCCCGGCTGCCATCTCATTACCACCTGCTCAAATTCCTCCTTCTACCTCTTCAGCTTCCCCTATGATAAACCCAGTATCTTCCCCAGTAACCACTCCCTCACGACCCCCTTCAGCTCCTCCAGTTCCTTCTGCATCACCACAAGTGCTTACTCCACCTGCTGCATTCTCCACCCCTTCTCCACCTCCACTTAATATCCACTCAGGCTCTTCTCCCCCTCCTATTGTTGTCCCTTTACCTCCTCCTAGTTGGGACACAAATGCCTCCTCGCCCAGTAAACAGCTATCACCAAATACACCTGTTGATGGGCCGGAAGTTCAGGGTAACCCAGATATCCCTCAAAGTAGTTTGGCACCTGAAGATGGGCCATACTGTAGCACCAGATCCAAGACCTCCAAGGCAGAGAAACTCTTTCCCCTTGGAGAGGTTCCTATGGGAGGAGTAGCGGGAGGTGTTGGCTTTGTGAATGCTCCCCTAACTGCTTCTGAGGTGAGAGGATTCAAGAAAGAGTTGGGGCATATAGTTGAGGACCCAGTGGGCATAGCCAACCAAGTGGATCAATTCTTAGGTCCAAATATCTACACTTGGGGGGAGATGAATTCCATCCTGAGTATATTATTTTCCCCAGAAGAGGTCCAGATGATTAGGGCGGCTGGCATAAGAATTTGGGAGAGATATAACCGTCCAGGATCCCAGGTGCCAACAGGTGAACAAAAATTGCCACTAATGGATCTCAGCTGGAACCCTAATCAGGAGGAGGGGAGGAAGGCCATGATGAAATATAGATCTTTGATAATTTGGGGGATCAAAGAGTCAGTTCCCAAAGGAACTAATACCCAATTGGCATTTGAGCGTGCACAAGAGAAGGATGAAGCTCCTGCTGCTTGGCTTAACCACCTAAAGCGGAACTTCCAGTTGTATTCTAGAATAGACCCAGATACCCCAGAAGGTCAAATGCTACTACAAGTCCAATTTGTTACCAAATCTTGGCCAGATGTACGGAGAAAACTGGAGAAGATTGAAGATTGGCAAGAGAAGGATATCAATGAGTTATTGAGAGAAGCATTGAAGGTGCAAATAAGGAGGGACAAAGAAAAAGCAAAGGCCAAGGCTAAGATCATGGTTGCTGTAGCTAGAGAAAGTGCAGGGTGGGCGGGTCCACCACCAGGAGGAGGCAAGGATAGGTCAGTACTGTCAGGTACAAGAAGGATGGAGAGGCCTCAAGTCCCTTTGAGAGAACGACATTGCTATTACTGTGGAGAGGCAGGACACATCAGGAGGTTTTGTAGAAAGCTCAGTCTCGATGTGGCAATAGCCAGGGAACAAGATAATTAAGGGAAGATCCTTAGAGGTGACGATTAGAGGTTCAGGGGCTTTACACTTTAGGGGACCCAATGCAACATCTAGAAGAGCCCTTGGTAAACTTTGAAGTGGGACCCCTAAATGAAGAATTTGAATTTTTGGTTGATACAGGAGCAGATAAGTCCTGTCTCAACAAAGTAACATCTGAAGTTAGACAAAAACAGCTAGGTAGAAAGGATATCCAATAGCACCAAAACTGGCCAGTAACACTAAAGTTGTAATAAGTGATGTGAAAGTAAAAGGTACCTTTTTGTTGTCTTGTTGTGTGTGTGAGAGTGAGTCACAAGCAAAGTCAGCCTCAACTTCCTGGGCAGGTGGGAAGGGGGCAGTGGAAGTGTGTGTGTGACCTGCAAAATCAGGATACTGTTCCCCGGGCAGGTGGGGGCTGTGGCCAAAGTGTGTGTGTGACCTGCAAACCTGGCTTGTGTCCCCCGGGCTGGTGTGGGGCTGTGGCCAAAGTGTGTGTGTGACCTGCAAACGAGACTAGTGCTCCCCAGATGTGTGAGGGAGCTGTAGCTGTAAGAGCGTGTGTGACACGCAGACAGCCTCACAGGTGAATGTGCACCAGAGGCAACCAGAGTCAGGGCCCTTCCAAGAGGCCCAGAGATACTGAGACCTGTGGGCCAACCCCAAGGTGAGGGGGGGCTACAGGGACCCGTGATTTTCTAGCAATAGTGATCCAGTTTGTGTCCTGAGGGTGTGAAGGAATGTGTGAAAGGGAATGAGAAATAAAAGAGAGTAAATATAGACAAATTAGAATAGAGGTAATGTAGATTGTGCATTACAAGTTTTACCACATCTCCTTAGAGGGAAGGGTATTGTGTAGAAGAATAGTGTGAGAAAAAGTGTAAGGGGTTGAAAGAAAAGTAGTATTTAAGCTGTAAGTGAAAGTAAGAAACAGAAGCAAGAGATAAATAGATAAGATCTTGAAAAATAGAACAGAAAACCAGTGAATTAAATACACAGAAAAATAGGAGAATAAAAGTACTTTGGGAGTTAAGTTAGCTGACAGAAATACAACTCCTTGCAAAATACAGAGTAGGTAGAAGTTGATGAGAGAAACATACAAGGTATGGAAAAAGAGAAATTACCAATAACATTAAACAGAGAAACTGAGTTTTGTTAGAATCATAAAATAGCAGACCATTAATGCCTGTGTTTGAAAGCCCATTTCAGGTACTCTTCATTACTAATTCGACTGTGCAGACCAAAAAGGAAAAGGTTGGACTCACATCACTCTCACCCCCTGGCATTGGACCAGATCCAACATCAGGTTTTTTTCCCTCTGGCATTCTGGCATTGGACCGGACTCCACCCCATTCTCCCTCTGGCATTGGGCCAGAGTCCCAGTTTTTCCCTCTGGCATTGGGCCAGTGTCCACACCACTCTCACCTCCGGGCACTGGATAAAGATTCATCTGCTTCACAAGGTAATTCACCTGAGTATACTGTGATTTAAAGTTGACTCTCAGAAGGAAGAATCAAAAAGACTGAACTGTATGGGAGAATAATTGGTATGGGAGCTCTAACATTGCTTAAAATGTTCCAAGACGGTTCTGTGTAAACTATGTTGGTAAAAAGTTTAAGACTGTAAATAAGTAATTCTGGTTAAGTTCCCCAATTTAATTCTAAAGACTCCAGGTTAATCCTCTACAGAGCACTCCCCTGGGGGAAACCAAAATTGGTAGGGAACAGACCAAGAGAGGTTTAACCAGAGAAGTGGGTAGAAGAGACTCTAAAGAGCTTGGAAGCTTCTTCTCAGTAAAATTCCCCAAGCGGCAAGGCCGGGTGGGCAAGCTCTGCAAGATGACCCATACCGGACTCTTGGGAAGGGTAGTAATGATGGCTCTGATTGCTGGTGGTGCTCTGAGGAGCCCAGGAGAGCCATGCAGTGAGTGCTACCAACCCCTCTATGAGGAGGAAGAAGTGAGCTCCTTGTCTAGAGTCCACATCAGTTCTAACCCTGATTGTGTTAACCTCTCCCAATTGGTCCTTTATCAGAAAAATAAGAGAGTATATTGGATAGCCCATGTAATGGGTTAAAACTTTAGGTTTGTTCATCAAAGCTGACAAAGTTATTCCAGTAAGACTGTTGCACCACCTCCATTTGTTTGCTTAAGTAAATTTCCAGACTTAAAAGGATAAGGAAGGTGAAACCAAAGACAATGGATTTCAAAAACATTTGTTTATCTGTTTAGTAAACTGTTAATATGGGTGGCGGGCTTGCTATGATTGATAGCACAGTATCAGCTTATCCGCTCAGTAAACCTAAGATTCCAGGAACTCAGCAGATTGAGCCTAAAATTCCAGGAATCAGATAAACCTAGCAAATAAGGAAAGTACCGGCCTTCATCTTCAGACCTCCGGGAGGTCGACTATGACCACCTAGACACAAAAGAAGAATAAACAGAGTACTACACATCAACCCGGAAGCAGGACTGTATAAGAACTCCACGAAATATCAGAAGAGTGCGACAGTGGTGGAGCGGGGACTCCCCTGTCGCCCAGCGCACCCGGGGCGCTGACTTTGCCTATTATCGCTTGCTCTATCAATTAATAAATTTCATTTTATTTGGACTTACTAGTTGGTGATTAATTCCCCAC